GAACAGGTAGCACGTTATTATGGCAATAACTCAGCCATGAGACAGTGCATCCCCTCCCTGTGAACAGGTAGCACGTTATTATGGCAATAACTCAGCCATGAGACAGTGCATCCCCTCCCTGTGAACAGGTAACACGTTATTATGACAATAACTCAGCCATGAGACAGTGCATTCCTCCCTGTGAACAGGTAGCCCGTTATTATGACAATAACTCAGTCATGAGACAGTGCATCCCCTCCCTGTGAACAGGTAGCACATTATTATGACAATAACTCAGCCATGAGACAGTGCATTCAGCCGAACTTACAAGTAGGGGATATTGGCGTCACTTAGTGCTTAATCTCTAACCCTAACACTAGCTCTAATTTGAACTAATACCCCTAACCCTAATCATCCTTCCTCGAAAATTAGAGGCAGCAGGATATAATGGTCTGTCGGCCTCATTACATCCTGCATCCCTGTATTGTTAGTACCGGCACCGGTAGCATCATATCATAGGTAGCATAGTTTCACAGCCGTGTGCACTATATTCTGCACCCGGGATGCATAATATAATGGGGATGCAATCGCTCACGCTACACCGCCTGTAAATTCTGTGTGAACTGAAAGCATTTTATTTCCATGGAGCCTCCTGTAAATTCTGCGTGAAGCGAAAATAATATTATGTTGTTTCCATGGAACCGCCTGTAAATTCCGCGTGAAGTGAAAGCATTTTGTTTCCACGACCGTATCTAGAGCATGTTCTACGTAAATATGCTGTACAGTATAATGTCGACTACTAGCTGTCAAATCAGGAATAATATCGAAACTCGTTACAACCTGACAATTTCTGATCACTCGACATAACGAACAAAGAGTTGAGGTATTGCGTTGCTTTCTCGTAATGAACTCTACCGAATAATTATGAGGTGAAAGGAACCAGGAGTTAATACGTTGAGCGCGTTAATACAATAAATGATTGACTATTTTGATATTTACTAGTTTGTATTAGCTAGCCTGGTCGTGGTGCGAGAATTCTAACACGATACGACAGGTCCTGCACGATATTGCATGCTACAGTAGCTAATAGATGGCGCTCGTGTTCATGCAGCTGCAGCTAGCATTCGGAATCATGTAGTTGCTGGTCTTGCAGATTACGTTGTTTGGCAAGAAGGGATCCGATGGACGTAACGTGTGGGCAGGTTGCGGCGGAACTCTCATTCATAGACGCTGGACTAGTGGTGCCCCCGGACGGCCCGTCCTTGTAGAAACCGGTGGATATATGTTTCCATGCCATCGAAGGTTCGCGTGACGTCAGTGTACGTCACGCACGAACTCGGCTATCTCCGAAGTAAAGTTGAATCATATCTAATATATAACTCTATGAGTTGAATGCATACAGCCTAGCTGCTGATGGCTACGTCACGCACATAACCTGATGCAAAAACCTTAACCCTAACCTTAACCCTAACCCTAACCCTAACCCTAACCCTAACCCTAACCCTAACCCTAAACCCTAACCCAATTAAATTTAATTAACACTAACTAACATAACACTAACCAAAATAGTTAAATGGATAAAGATAGAAAATAGAAAAATAAGAAATAATAAACAGATGGGATTCGAACCACCACCTCAAGAAGAAACGTCCGGCGCCATACGCGCTGCGCTATTTTGGTTTGCTCGAAGTGATGTATTATGGATGTGGCCCTATATGCATACATGGATGGCGTGCGTGATTGGTCTATGGTGGTGACGTCACACTGACGTACACTGACATCACGAAATTCGTCGGTGGCATGGAAACATATATCCACCGTAGAGGCCGCAGGTTTCAGTTCATATTTGCAGCTGCACGCTCCCCCTATTGGCCTTAAATACAAAACAGGGAATTACATTATAGGCCGTTCACACGCACGTTTTTTGCCCGAGCTAATTAGGCCGCGTGCCAGATTTGGCTCGGACCGAGCGTTCCCACGGACGTTTTGGCCGAGCTAATTAGGCCCGAGCAGATTTGGCCGCCATCGACAAACGTCGGACCAGGCCGAGCCAAATGTTAGCACCAGCTTTCGCGAGCGGTAGAGAGGTAGAATCGGTTGAAAACAGTAATAAAAAGTATAACTTATAACAGTATAAAAATTCCAAACAGTATAAAAGTTCAAAAACAGTATAAAATTCGAAAAATTTGATCAGGATGCACGTTTTTCAAGATTGATAATTAACTCGGAACGTAAGTACACATCTATCAACGCCATTCGCGACATACTGCCAATTTATCTGAGATATTGTGCAATAAAATTCATTTTATTTTTGAATTTGAATTTGACAGACAGTATTCAACTTGCTTACGTGTGAACGCGCTGTACTCAAACGGCGGCCTCGAGCCCAAATTTGGCCACGAGCCAAATCTAGCCCATTTGGCTCGAGCCAAATCAATGACCTTGTGAACGCGACTTACACTGGGAATTCACTGGGAATTCGCTTAAGTCTGATTCGTGGCAACAGTGACTGACTTGACACAGCGTTTGCTGGTAAGCATGTCATCGTAACATACGCTTGAAAATTGTTGGCATCTATAAAGCGCCACGAAAAACTTATATATAAAACTGAAATAACCCTAATTACCTCAATGACTACGCCCACCGCATGCCTACTCACTGAATGTTTACTCGGTGACGATGCCCTCGCAAATCCCATTGGTTGATTACAAATACGCTGCCTCAATACTCCTCAATGACGCCCCAGTGTTTGTCAAGGGCACATTCATAACACAAAACCTCCAATGTCACGATAGCTGAACGGCCTAGAGTCAGAGACGAACGCTGAAATGTCGTTTGGATCGAATCCATCTGTTTTTCCATTATTTTCCTGTTTTTCTGTATTTTTCTATGTTATAATGCCAGATTTACATGAATTTATTTACAACAATTTTAATAACAACAAATAATTTTTTTGGTTTATAGAAGTTGAGGGTTAGGGTTAGGTGTCAGCAATGCACCATAAAACAGGAGTTTTGAGGTACGCTGATTAGTATCACGAAACGCACGGCACGCACGCACGTCTACGTGCACATGCATGGCACCGGCAACGCACTAGCACCGTGGTATCCTACACACACACGAAGTATCGCCACACTACGGCACGACATGCACACACGTTACCCTGCAACACGGCACGCACGCACGCACGAACGTGTACCTGGCACACGCGCGCCACCACAACAGCCACCGCACGCACGCACGTGTACGTGCACACACCACGGACGCACGCACGCATGACGCACGGTAAGTTCACAACGCACGGCAACGCACGCAGCATGATACGTACGCATGACACGCAGCGAGCACGTGTACGTTGCCACGACGCACGCACACACTCATGCACGCACGTGTAGCGGCTGCGCACGCACGGTATACCATGCACATGCCACCTACGCGCCGCACGCGCACAGCGCCGCACGGGCACGGCACGGCACACTCATAAGGACATTTGGAGCTATGGCAGCGCACAGGCTTATAAATTTTCGGCCGCGTCGTTAATTTCTTCTTGCTGTTTCGCGTGCATTGACGAGCAGTCTTCATGCAGTGATTCGTGCATGCAATAGCGATGTTGTCATGGTGTAGCTGAATTCGACCGCGCTGTACACACATAACTACCTAAGATACATGCGTCGAGCATACTTCAACCTTGAAGACGTACGGCTTCGTTAGCCACGTGGGTAAGCAGCGAGATTGGAAAGGAAAGCCATGCGTGGACCAGTTGACTCAGTAGTTTATATTGACGGGACAACTTGCAGTAACACGTGGCGGGGGTTACATGACTTGTGCCGAGCGTGGTGTCCACGGCTTGCATACTAAGTACTGGGCCGTCCAGCTCCAAACGAACACAGACCAGCTTGGTCAGTCAGGAAGCCTTGCACCCGTCCGCACTGCTCTTTAGCTGCTGGTGCTTGTCCGCCCTGCTAGCTGAACCATGTAGGGTGTTAGCGAGCACGAGGTCTACGCAAGGATACACAGCGCAGGGCGAGGATCACGTGCGCTTGACTGCCCTCTTCCTTGACGAAAGGTTACACAGTGCGGAGGGCGCAGCTCGGTTCAGTCAGGAAAGCTCGCACCCTCTCACTGCTCGAGCACGCACGAACGTAGTAAGTTCACACGCACGCAATGCACGCACGCGGTGTACGTGCACTACATAAACAGTGCTTTCTATCAGAACATGAGGTTATTCATCTGTAAACTGTCAAGCAGCACGCTTCGCTTCTTCCAACCACAACAACATAATAAATACACGTACTGATCTATGACGTCACGTGAAACATCGCTATTAGGCGCGCGCGCGATGGCGTGTGCATGTTTGCTAGTGAATTAGACCCGCTAAAATTCGAGATTTTCGCTGGCAGCATTGATCCGTGGGGGCCTTCTATTTGGCGCACGGCATCAATAGCTGCCAGCGCGTGATACTTTCGTAGGAGTTCCCCGCGGTCGCGTGCGCCTTGCCGCGGAACTGCGCGCAAGATTCGCGCTTAGCGGGCAGGATCAACACCTTTCAGGCGACGCTCTTCTTGGTATCCGGTCTCTCTCATCTGAATCCTAACTGCTGCTCACTGCACGTGTAAGTGTCATATGTTCCCCGACAGATGTCGCCTGTGTTCAATGCTGTCCACGCAATTATCGCTATTAATCGCAATTAATCGCATTAATCGAATTAACCGCAATTAATCGCAATTAAGCGTAGACGGTGGCGCTTATGGTTGGCCATCGTACTCAGAAATAGTTATTTAACCGCGGTAAAAATAATGTAACTGCGGTTAAATTGTAATATTCACTTTACCCAATCAGATGCGTTGTTGCACATAATTTAACCGCGGTAAAAATAATTTATCCGCGGTTAAATTATGTGTAACAAGGCCTCTGATTGGGTAAAAGGGCTACAATTTTACCGCGGTAAAACATAATTATTTCTGCGTACGATGGCCAACCATAGGAGCTAGGTTTGTCTCATGTTTACTTTGTGTTTACAGAGGCAAGGGACCAGCTGATCTCCCGCTGATGATTGCTGGAAGTCTGAGACGGGACGGCAAAGAGACTGGCCGGCAAGGTCGGTTGGTGAGTATGCGAGCGAGCGAGCGGGCGGGCAGGGTTATTTGGGCGAGAAATTGGATTAATGAGTGAGCACATACGCATCACGAATGCTTCAGGAATACTTATCCAACATGCTGGCGTTTTCTGGTTTCGAGACAGAAAAAGTGAAAACTCACCAGAACTACAATCGACATAGTCGGACATACGTTGGAGAACGACATTGCGTTGATAAAGGTGACGCCACCCTTCAACATCCCGACCGACCGCGTGCAGCCTCTTTACAGATCAACCGATCTCGAGATCACATCAGGAACCCTGATGCAAGCCAGTGGTTTCGGCACTACTAGTTGTAAGGATAGTTTCTCACACCGATACTAATGTTGTGCACGTTGATAGCGTGAAAACCACACTGAATCATCTCATCGAACCTGCGGTGATTTTCTGCTTTTTAAGTGACAGGAACACATGACAGCGGTTTCCGTAAAATTAGAATATACAGTAATGAAGAAATAATAATATAGGAAAAAAAATATTATATAGAAAAAAGAGAATATAACGCGAGGTTTTCGTTTCTAAACTAGTAAACGTGGATTTATTCTTTGCTTACACAGCTGGCGGCTATTTATCATACAGACTGCGTTACGTGAACATTCCGAGAGTGAGTCGAGCTGATTGTGTCGCAGCGTATGGCGAAAGTGAGATTAAGAAAGGCATGCTCTGCGCAGGAGAAGCCGGAATAGATTCGTGTCAGGTAAGTTGTTCTAGTAACGCACGATAGAGCGAAAAAGTGATTTAGCCATAGTGAAGGGGACAGGGTGAGAGAGGGAGAAGAAAGATGAAGATGAGAGCGAGAAAGAGAGAGCGAAGGAGAGAGCGCGCGAGAGAAAGAAAGAGAGAGAGAGATGGGGGGGGGAGAGCGTAAGGGGTAGACAGACATGTAACACAGACATGCTGATCACTATCTCATTCGCTCGGTCCTTCTATCATTAATCTTTTCATGCATCGCTCGTTCACTCACTCTACGCCTGCAAACGTTTACGTGTTTTCCGTATAATACAGGGAGACTCGGGTGGACCGCTGGAGTGTAGTGGCAGGCTGTGTGGCGTCGTATCGTGGGGCTATGGCTGCGGCTCAGCCAGCTATCCGGGAGTCTACACACGTGTGGCAAGCTTCAACACGTGGATCACCAACACGATTGCTAACAACTAAGCAACGCGGCGCGCGTGACGTCAGCACGCGCGCACGGTGACGTAAGCACAACTGGGTGTCACGTGGCGGCCAATGGCACTGCTGCTTTTCGGTGAATGTCCGTTGTAATAATGACGTCAGCGGTTTCGTTTTTGTTTTCTGTGCAGTCCTGGTTATAGCATCATCCGGGCACTTCTCGGTCGGCTGCTGTTACAGACGACGTCAGACTTCGTTCTGGCCTGGATGATCGAGTTTGAGATTCTACATTCGAGCGCAGCATCCCTCTCCGCCGCCTGTAGAGACACGAGGCACGTATTAACCATTCAAAAAATGTAAAAAAAACACCGTGGAAGTTTACACGTGTGTTTTACATGATGGTTGTTGTCATTGATGGAGTCACATGCATATTTTGTTCTGAGTGAGGTTAGCAGAGTTAATATTAGTTACATTCCCCATGATTCCACGACTGCTGCAAGAGTTTTAGGGGTTATATTATAATATTTCGTTATGTTATATTAAGGGGTTATATTTATATTATCAAGGGGTTTACATTTAAATTCAATGGTAGCGGTGTTGCGTATACGTAATGACGCAAACTGTTGTAATTTTAGGCTCTGTTTTCGCCATTACTATAGAAGAGTTCTGATTAGTATTCCAAGGATTTGTTTTTATACTGTCAATGACATAGCCAGAGGGCGCCAAAACAATGCGACTAACACATGGCCATGTCTAATGTCCAACACATAATCAATACCAGAAAACTAGCGTACGCCCCTGTTGCAGTGATACATGATCATGTTATACTAATTGTATCCCAAATATATTGCGATTTGGAGACAAAACATGCAGCCTGAAGCACTAAAATGCTCCGACGTGTGAATCTACGCCCCAGACATTGTTGGGTGAGCTTACAGGAACCCCCACCCACCCCAATTACATCTCTGTTGAATGTTGGCTCTAACGTTGACTTATTCCGACATGCGTCAGAGTGCACTGTTCGAGATTAATGCCCATACATGCGGCGATGTTGCTTTCTTACATACTTATATATATATATATATATATATATATATGTGTATATATATTAGTATATATTTATATACTTTTATTACATGTGCTTTATTAGGAATGAATAAACAATGTCAGGTTTTTTGCTATTTCTACCTCCTGTTTCTGCTGATAACCCGGGTGAGATTTGGGAATGTGATTCGGTAGCTTGCATCTCTGCCTGATATACCCGCTTATGATCGATTCGATATCCTGACTCGTCTGTAAGGTAAGAACCATTTTGCCAAAAAAAACACACACACACAAACATTAAGTATTAAGTTGACACTAAACGTTGTTAACGTGGCAGCAGGGTCGCAGGCAAGAAAATAAACCCATTGTTTCTCCTCTCCTCCGGGGAGACAGAGCATGAGTGAAGCAAGCGAGAGAAACAAAGCGAGCGACTCGTGCACACCAGTTTACGTCAGGAACCATTAAACCCTTCGCAGCAGCAATACACCAACGTTTGGAATTTTCAAAGCTTTTAGAGTTGCGCCTTGTTCAAATGTTGGCACTATAGGTATGCGCATAGTGCTAATATTCGTGTTCGGATACCAGTCATGTGAAGATGCCGGTTGCCCGTAGATTGATACAGCTAAGTCATGTTTACTATGATAAGCTTATAACTACATATAATATATAATATATATAATATAATGATAACCCACCTCAATAGAAAACAGTTCCTCTTTGACAGCGGCGCGGTGCGACTGCGCATGTGCAGCCGGCGCTGTAGGAACCAGCATCGGCCTCGGTGCCTGTCCCGCCGATCCCGTCCATCTAAAGTCATCAACATGCACGTATAACTAAATACACACACACACACACACACACACA